CGAGGCAGCTGCGGCTTGGTTTAATTTGAAATAAAATGATTGGACACGTTTTCGTTTTCAATATTTCTTTCCAGGAGCATGGTTGCGCTGTAAGCACGCGGAATTCTGCAGCTCTAGCAAATCTAACCAAGATCCTGCGCAGTGTTCACTCGAAAACGTAACGCACAACTAAATTCGTTCCGAGCAGGTCAATTTTAGCGTACGCTATACTATAGCGTATTGCGTACGCAAGAGCCAGCAACGCTATGCTAAAACTGCCTATTGCCGTTTCCCACGTACGGAGCGCCAAAACCCGGCAGTCGAAAACAACGCCGAGGACGCGAAGTTCGGTGACGACCGGAACGTATGTTGGGAAGGGTGGAAGTGGCACACCATAAAATAAGAGGACCTGGCTCTTGGAGCGGTTTGAGCGCGGACGACCAGAGAGGGTACCACATACTGAGAAGAGCTTCCCCCATGGCAGCTTCATAGCTCCCAGAATCTAGGGCAAACAAGCAAACGTCGACTGCGTAGGCACCGACCACAACGGCCTCGGCCAGGTAAGGGGAAGCCGTCAGTCCCCGAGCTGGATTTCAGACGTCCAAGGAGGGGGTCAAGGCTAATAAAATATATCAGAGTGGAGAGAAGGCAGCCCTGCCGTTCCTTCAGAGTGGCGGGGAATGGTGTGAGGAGCCACCCACTGATCAGGGCGCGGCTGGTCAAGTCGCTGTATAAGGTTCAAAGCAGGGCAATGAATGCCTCAGGAAAACCAAAAGCGAGCAAAGCTTTAAACAAGAAGCAATGCTCGACGCGGTCAAAGGCTTTCATCTGGTCAAGCGCGACGAAGGCTCCTGACAAGTTGGTGAAGTGTGCGTAGGCAACACCGCGGGCATCACCGCGCAAACAGCGCTGGGTCTGGGCCAGACCTCGCGGTGTTTTCTCAATTAACATCGCTTTTACGGGGTCGGAAATCGATAGGTGGCCCTGAAAAATTCATAACGTTATTGTTGCATGCGACGCTCACTGTCTTTTGGCCGGAGTCGATCGCGGGTAAACGGAACATGCTAAAATATAGTTCTCGAAAACCATGCTCACGCCAGTCATCTGTCCCTTGAGAGCGGGAAGAAAAGACGGAGTAAAAAATAAATCATTTTGACTCACTCAGTTTTCCTGGAGAGCCTTTGTTCCGGGGGTCTCTTGGTCAACCTGATGACCACTGGTCCGTCGACGTGGCGGCGAAAGGCACCATCGGCGGTCTCCGCACCCTCGCTAGGCTGAGACCGGTGTTCATCGCAATCACCCGCGCAGCGTATTCTAGCAGTGGGGGATGCCAGGCACAGCGCATTTTCTTGCTCCGAGATACGCTTTTAGTTTGTGCTGTCACGGGGTGTCCACTCTGGGTGGGCCCCGCGAGCCGTCTCGAACTTAAGAGGATGCACTTGCCTCTTGTTGCGTCACCGTACTTCGTTCGAGAACGGGGTTGACCTCAAGAATCGCAGCTGCGCTCTGCCCAGCGAAGTAGGCTGGCCTCGTCCCGAAGGATAATGCCTCGGACGCACTCCGCGGGCGTTCAGTCACCTCCGTGTGGGAGGACGTCCGGCCGAGACTTTAGGGAGTTTTTGTAGATAGTTTCTGCTGTCCCGCAATGGCTCTCCGCAACCCACTACGATACCCGGAACTCTACAGCCAAAACCATCGGCGCGCAGGCGCAGTAGTGGCTTCTTCGTTGCGGAGGGTTTAGCGGAGGAGGAAACGCCGTCAACGAAAACACCCTACTTATTCAATGTCTTTCCGTGGCTGACAAAGCCACTAAGCCGTTGAGTGCCATCGGGTGTCGGGCGTTCGCCTCTCCCTCCGCCCACAAAATCCAAGGACGGAAATTGGCCTGGTTCGCTGTCATTGCGAAAGTGCTGCTTTGTTTGCAGTCGCCGGACAGGCCGCACGTTGGGACGCCAAATGTGAAATTCGTCTTACTTTACTGCACCACGAGGTCGATCCCACTTCGTAGCTGGATGTTGAGGACTGCTACGGCCGGGTCCGTGCGAAGGTTACCGTGAGCTTCGAGGAGAGGAATCACTCTGAAACACAAAGGTACGGAAGAAGCGGGTTTATTTGGCTCCTGTGCCACCACGCTGTGGCCGTCGGCAAAACTAATAAATAAAAGGAACGGAAAATGTTGGCGCTGTCGCACTAGACAGATTCACCTGGAGGGGGCCCACGCTGCCGTGTTAGGCAGATCTGTGGAAAGGGAGATGCTAAAAAAGAAAGAGGCTCCGTGGCCCAGAGCCTCCCCCGATGGGAATCCCGGCCGCCGTTCGTGGCCGGCTTATTTAGCCAGCGGAAAATGGACGCGCCCGGGGTAGGTGGTGTGACTTATCCCGCATTTGGGCCGCGTCCACAATCATTTCCAAAGGGTGCACTAGAGGCACGTTGAACCAAAAGGGCGAGGGTAGACACGCCCTCTTCGAGGAATGCTGCCTTGCCCCGTATCCAGGTAGACGTCGCCATAACCCTCCCACGGCCTGCGTGTGCTTGGCCTAGATAGGGAGACGGGAAACACGTGGTTCCCAGACTTTCAACAATATAACTTGCACGGTGGCCACAATCTGTCAAGAACAGAATACAGTGGCGTTGATACAGAACCAGGAAGGAAGTAGAAGCATAGTTGTTTGCCAAGTGTTCGGTTGCAGTGGTCTTCGTATGTGAAGGACAGAACCGTACAACCCACCAAAGTGCCATTTGCTGCGATGATTAAAACGTGCAGCGCACAAAGAGTGGACAGATGAAAGTGGAGACAAAATCGCTGATTGTATACCCTCTCTTCTGTCGTGTCTTTTTTTTGTGCTGCACATTTTAATCATCATGCATTAGCAACAAACCCAAGCTCCCATTTTGAGCCAATTGCTCCGTACACACAAGCATCATCCATTCAGGGCATGACGGAAAGTCCTTAGCGGAAAGGAGGTTTCGCTAAGGAGAACGGAGAAGAGGCGAGCTTCAAGAGAAAATGTTTGGGGAAGCAACGGGGTTAACTTCACGCCCCCTGATAGCATTTCTAACTTCCGTCGGCGGAAGAGGCATGTTGATCTGCCCCCGTATCTTTTGTGTTCCACGCAACTCACCGGACGGCGCTCGTCACTTGAAAAAGCTCTATTGCCCGAAGTGCGACCATTGACCCGTGCCCCCCATCAGCCGCCGTCTCGGCCACAGGCTCCGAATAAGTCTCTACATTCCAAGGGTCAACCATCCCAAGGTTAAAGGAAAATGGACGAATAATAACATCGGACATTCCCGGTGGACGAAGGGCAAAAAATCGGGACCTTCCAGAGAGTTGGTGCTTTAACTCATTTAAAAGGAAGGATTGGACACGTCTTTTGGTGAACAGGGAACAGGGACTCTTAGAAGTTTCGATTATACGATATTCTTTCACATTTCGTGTGATACGTCATAACTTTAATCTTTCTATAGATGATTGCAAACAGGTCATACGGCGGCCGCCATGTTCTTCCTCATGTTGCAAGCACGTGCAACTGCAAGTCTGCCAAAGCTATCTTCACACGAAAGCTGCACGTGCTTGCACGCAGTGTGCACCTGTCGGGACAACATGCTTGATATTAAGGAAGGGGCCCCTGGCCGGTTCTATTTTCAGTGTTCGTGCGTATGGCGCATGATTTGCTCCCTTTCCAAAGCGACGAGCATGCGCGTGCTGGGCTCAGGAGATCGCACGGTGGGCCGAGGAAGTTGTAAATATAAGGAGTATTCACTAGGCGCCATATTTGTGGGTGCTGTCTAGAGCGCATGCTCAGAACGAGCCCACATCAATAGGCTGCTAGGACCGGCAATCTTGAGGGTGCGGACTGCACGTTCCAAAAGAAACGTGGAAGCCCGCCATCAGCACGCGCTCAGCAGTCGCGCACACAGCTATGGCCGCCAGTGAACACTTCCTATAGGGAGTATTCACTGGCGGCCATATCCGTGTGCGCTGCTGCTGAGCGCATGCTGAAGGCGAGCTTCCGCAGTCCTTTTGGAGCGCGCATTTAGCACCATCAAGGTTGCCGGTCTCAGCAGGCTATTAATCTGAGCTCGTTCTGAGCATGCGCTCTAAACAGCACCCACAAATATGGCGTCCAATGAATACCTCCTATTGGAATGGTGTATACTCGTGGACAACTTTTCTTGAAATTTTCCAGGAGAGGAGGAGTGTGCTCTGACAGGTTTGATCAGCACTCAAAATCGGGGAGGGCACGCGTGCCCGTACCTTTAACTGGATTTTCATGAAAGGTTGTCCCCGAGTTAAGTACTTCATGTTGCGCGACAGTGCAAACGTGTCGCTCAGCATTCTCAAAATTCCTGGGTCAATTTGGCCATCACTGGATTTGGTCGCCAGCGGGCCGAAGAAAAATTACCAGCTAAAACACATATATTTTTGTAACCACACTCACCACTGAAAAATATCTGTGTAGGGCACGTAGCAGTTCTCAGAAAAAAAAAAGGATTGCGATGAAGCGAGCGACGCCGTAGAAACCAGTGGCTCGAAACGTGGCAGTGCAACAAGGAGGCCAAAAGTTTAAGCAGCTCAAGCGCCAGAAAGCCGTGCCTTGAAGTGCATGCAAAAATAAACGAAAAGGAAAGGTCATTCTGTCGCATCTATGAACACTAGGATAGGCATGGAGAGTCAGTGTGGACTATGTCACCAACACTTCAAACATACGGCGATATCATGGGGGGGCGGTTGCGAGGTTCTCGCGATAAGTTTAACCATGATGCTACCACGTCGTTTACAATAAAAGTATATGAAATATTCCTTTTTTTTTTCGTTTCCTGTCCCCTTAGGAGCTGGGTTATATATAATATTAAGGGTGCTTCACTATAAAAAAGTAGCGCTTGCATTGGTGCAAAATATTCAGTGTTTAAGGTAGAATTAAAGGCGACAGAGGAACAGTTGATTCATGAACTTTAAGCAGCATCTTTTTAATATTGTGATTGTATTTATGTATGTATTTTTTGTATTCTAACTCCAGATCTACTGGAAATTGCACTGAAGAGGACGTTTACCTTGCCTGGAATCCGATTACCCACGTGTCAGGCTTCGGATATGATATGTTTGGTATGCTTATAGGCGCGAAAATCGTCATCGCTGAGCCTTGGATTTCATACAACGATTTTAAGGATATCCTCGAAACATTTCAGGTAATACATTTGAGGCGAAATTACAAATAATCAAAATCCTTCAAAATATTGACCTGTCTGTTTCCATGTATATTGACAGCACAGGCGCACGCAGTGACGGATTACCACAGCACATTTTTAAACAAATTTATTTTTATAATATACATATTGTATTGGTATTATAGTCTTAAAGGCCGACGTACAGCCTCTGTTATCTACAGGGAAGATAATCGTCGAAGCGTCCTCCTTTCCTGAACTGTGAGAGAGGCCATGTTAGGGCGAACCGAACAAGGTAGAGTATATAGAAAAGGAAAAGCGGGCAGAAATGGAAGCGCGAAGTGTAGGTCGGTTTTTAAGCCGCCGATGTTTCTATTGCTGTGGTGGTTTTGTTTTCCCGCAGTAAGCTAGGGAAGCGAGGGCCAAACGTGTAGTGCATTTGTTTAATAAAAAACAATTGAGTCCCAGTCAGTGGCGGACGCAGCACTCGTGTTCTGGTGTCCAATCGCTTTCACGTACCTCGGGTAGATAACTTTAAAGGGGCCATGCAACAATTTCAATTTAGAAAGAACTCTCAGTTCTTAATTTTTACACTGTTTAATATATCAGTAAAAGGGGTGAAAAAGCCTCCTCATTCTGTTGAAATATCGCGATTCAGCTGCGTAAGCAATGCAAACAAGGGGAATATTTCGCGATTTGCAGCCGTGGCAGCTGTAGGAACTGATGCGTGACGCACACCTGGGTACAATGTAATAAGTTGGCAAGATTTGCCATCATGTTCTTAGTCTAATGCTATATTTTTTAAATGTTGTCATTTCAACATCTGTAACTGCGTGAAAACCTCATGTCATCGACAGAGTTGTAGTAAATTAAGATTTAGTGGCACTATCAGCCCGAGATGGAAAAAAAACTATTCTTTTTTTTGAGCCTCACCCCGTTGCGCTACTACGTAATCGAACTTCCTTAGGGCCGCTTCAGACAGGGCGGCTTTCCCAGAAATTTCATTGTTGCTGGCCGGTTGTTCCCCAGCTTTCCCTAGATCCTAAATGAAGTTTGCGGGGAAAATTACCCTGTATGAAGCGGGCCTTACGAAAAAGCAAACACTTTGTTCCCCCCCCCCCCCTTCCCCCGTTTCTCTTTCTCCCCCTCTCTACATCACTCAGAGCTACCTTCAAGGTCGCCATGTGAATCGCAACTTCGTAAGCAGAGGCCGCCTACGCTGGAAGCTCTGAACGAGAACCAAACCGAATTTTCCGTGTCCCCATTGCGCGTCACTTGGCACATGGCTCTGAACAAGGTGTGGAGTTGAGAAGGGTTTGGGGGGGAACCAAAACGGTCAATTTTTCGACAGCTTTTCAGGAGAAAAAAGAACTAACACACGTAGGCATGCCTGGTTTTCTGTTCTTTAATTCAGACGTGACAAGGAATAACTAACCCAATTATTTGAACAGCGTCCAAACATTTTTGCACGGGCCCTTTAAATATATTCAGCGCTCCTTCGCCATTCCATACAGTACCGTGTGTCTATTTTACGTGGCCTACGCTCTAAATTGTACTCAGCTATATCTGAGTTACTCCCGCTAACCAAATCACTTGTTACAACATACCGGAGGTCAACGCAAGGCACGTATCAGACACCGATCTGGCGTTAGTGTTGGGCTGTGATACAATCAATGAGAGCACGCGTTCCAGCCCTCAAGCCGAAAGCTCACACAGCAATCGTGGGACTGTCTTCCGTCACAGGAGTGAAGGACCGGAAACAGTTAGGTGCTAATCAAATTTATCATTATGTGTTAGCCTCCAGGAACGAACCACTTCGTGCAAAACATGTTCAATCAAGGCGGGTGGCTAGAGCTTCAAATAGAAAGCATGTTTCTATGGCTGACGCCCTTTTTTACTCAGGTTGTTTAAGTCAATGACACTTACCTGGAAAGGCACTACGGTCGAACAATTTAATACGAGCTTATGGTTTTCTAATTTTTGCAATGATATATAATTGTAATGATCAAATTACGGAGCCTAAACTAAACTAAACAACCCATAGCACAATTTTTTCCCGCCCCTCCCCCCAACTTGTCGCCTTGTTATATCACTGCTCATTTCTCTAGCGCTATTTTAGCAGTGATATTTAGCAGTGATAAAAAACAGTGATATTTACGGCACAAGTTCCGAGGGATAAAAACCGGCTGTCGGTTGGCCAAAGAAACATGATTTTCATTTTAAAGGCCGACGTACAACCTCGGTTTTCTGCAAGAGAGATTATAGTCTTAGCGCTCTCCCTCTCCTAGGCTACAAGGGGAGTCAGGTTGGGGCAAGGTAAAAAAAGTGGAGAGGGTACAGGAAAGGAGGAGGCAGGCAAAAGTGGAAAGCGTGAAGTTTACTTCGGTCTTTAAGGGCCGGTTGTACCAACGCCGCTTAGCGCAAAGCGGAGCTTAGCCGGGAACCTAAGCTTAGTTTCGGTTTCGTTCGGTTGCACCAAAATCGCTTATCGCTAAACCTAGCACTAAACTATGCTTAACTTGAGCGCTCAACATTGGGCGCTTTGCTTTTGGTTGTTTCTTAATCCTGGATTTAAAACATGGCGGCTGGTTTGTCGCGGCCGACGCGGTGGACGAAATTGGTTGTGCAAAGTGTTTTAGGCTACATCAGCGTGAAAGTCTCGACAGAATGACCTTCGGTTGTGACAAGGATGCAAAATGTTGTCGCGTGAAGTGTTTCTCGACCCCTGTTTTCAAGTTGGCTCTCCACTCTCAGGGCGTATTAGCCCTAACCGAGATATGTACGGAGCTGTTAGCCTCACGTCTGTCTTCCCGTTGGTTCTTCTGTCAACGAGCTTATTCATATGTACTTACTAATTTTCGAATAACTGTAACGTATTGTTATTTACCACCTTGTTTATTTACACTTGCAGCGCGTATCCTTCAAACCGATCAGCGCGTTGAATAGTGGCAGTAGATGATCTCGGCGATCAGTTGATTGTCGACACCTCTGCGGTCTGCATTAGATTGCGGCGCTTTTAAGTAATAAAACAGCAAAAATTCAATTTATTTCATTTTCTGAGTTTTGAGACAATCTTCAGTGGAATTGCCTAATCTCGCGAGTAGAATCTTGGCTTCAGAAAACTGTATCGTTCCATAACCGTAACTTTTTTGGTGATCGCGATTTTTTAGGAATATTTTGCTTTATATCTTTCATTCGTGGCGACGACAAATCGTAACGAAAACTATGCTAGATTCGTTCATTGCTGTATTGGGGCAGGCTGGGGCAGGTGATGCGAAGAGACGACCGTTCTTATCGGCACGACGTGATGTACTAGTGGGAGCTGTTGTTTTTCTTTTTTTTTTTTCTGAACTCAACAGTGTGAAAGTAAAGTCCGTTTGAGGCTGCAGGTGATGTTCAACGACGGTACAATACAGTTCTGTCACCTTGCTGATAGCAACGAGTACCTTCGAAGCAAGGTCTCGTGACCTGACCTCTCGACGACTTCTATTCGACGATTTCCAGGCATTTTCGCAGCTGCCGTGCCGAGTTCGTCACTGTTTTGAACTTTATCGCTCTCAGGCATGACTTGATTTTAGCACTCATCTTACCTGCCTACTTATTCTCGATGATGTTTTGTCTTCAGCGATGTAGCGAGTAGAGTGTCCTTCTCGCGTTCGGTGAGATTTGGAGCCCCCGATGGCTCCTTCACCTCAAAATGTGAGCACGAAAACTACTGCCACTGTCAAAATATTCTGTTATCAACCGATATTAAACACACAATCACATATGTAAAGAGCATTCGTGTTTATTTAACGCTTTGACTTCTGTTATTGAAAGTTAAGTGAAAAAATGATTGAATTTGGAGACCTTTAATTTGTTACTCACCGAAGAAATACAGCAAAAAGCAGACGCCAACGACGACTACTAGGGCAGTTTTTTTTTTTTGTTTTGTTTACATCACGTGTTTCCTCTCCGCCAATCGTATTCGTCCCTCTGAGCGTTCCCTAGTTCGCTCTGTTTGTCCCCACATTCCCTACGCAAATCCAGCGTTTAGCTAGGGGCGCGTCTGTAAAGGCGGGTTTACGTTGGTGCAACCGGAATTTAAACCCGTGCTTATCCGAGCTCGGTTTAGCACGCTAAGCGGACTTAAGAAAGAGCCGCTTTGGGTTAAGGTAAACGACGTTGGTGCAACCGGCCCTAAGGGGACCATGAAACGATTTTGAAATAGAATTTCATCCACCGCACGTCGCAAAAGTCGTGAAAAAAAAAACACCTAAACACAATAATAAAGAGCCCCCCCCCCCCCCTCCCCCCGAAAAAAAAAAAAAAGATTTTCTATAGAACGTTTAAAGGCAAAGCGGACTCTTTTATACCTTCTTTGTGCCGACCGCTTTCATTTGCGCTACTTTAACGAGCGCAACGCACACATCTTGTTGCATGGCGCAGCGAAAAGCCTGATACATCTTCGCAGTAAACGCGCACTGTGATGACAGGCTCCGGTTGCCCGCCAAGACCGTAGCTTCCGCCGTAGCTTCCGACGTTGTGCGATCACGGCCTCCTGCCCTACTCAGTATTTCTTGCTTCAGTCACTAGGGTAAGCAGCGCCACCAGAGGAATAGCTCACGCTTGAACAATGCAGCCGCCACCACCGTAACTTCCCATAGACACTGTACATTGGAGGGGGTCCGAAACCGTGTCCGATTTTTTTGCAGCTAGGTGGCGCTGCCGGCGCATTATTCCATGTGTTTTCGTCTGCTTCTGCTCCGCGGCTGCTTGCGAGTCCCGACTCCTCTCGAGGTTCAGCATGGTTTTTGGTTAATTTTTGCCCTTTCGCCAGTAAAATTTACAATTAGAGCATGAAAAGCGCTACGACCGTCTTGGCATACGCTTTGCATTATTGTAAAATGCTGCTGCCTTCGCTGTGCTGTCAGCGCGAAGCGTTTCGAACAACCCAAATTCGTCGGCGCCACAATCCGGTGGCTACAATCAGAGTAATATAGTAGATACTGTAATAGTAGATGTGCCGATGACTGCCAACTGCAGCAGAAACCACTTGAAAGTCGTCTGCTACCGTCAGAAAAAGCGCCACGAACATCCGTAAACTCAGTCGGCCAGATGCAACGGCCATGTACGATCTCTATGGCAACGGCCACAAGCGCGCCGTCAATGATGATGATAGCGAGTATTAATGCGGAGCGCGCGCCGTCTAACAAGCGCCACGCAAAGGGACCCCCCTCAGGAGCGGAGTTCCAGAACTGAGTTGGTTTTAATAACGTTGGCCGCCACTGTCAAGCATACCCAATGTTTCTTGCTTCAGTCGCTAGATAGCGCCAAACCAAACAGCATTGCAGGTTGCCACACTCACAACACAATTATATCTGAAGGTACCTAACTATATCGACTTCTAAGTCAACTATAAGAACTATAGAACTGGGTGCGATGAATTTTGCGAAATTGTTTAGAAGTTCCGATGTACTTCCTTTGATTTAGTACCGCCATGAAATGGTAACGTACCAGTATGTTGCAACCGCAAGACATTCATTATTTTATATTTTTTTATCTTTGCAGTTACTTTTTTCTTTTATTTTTTCCTTTGCACACACACCACCCCGCCTTGTAGGGAATTCAAAGACGGCATGAAAGTTAAAGGTGAATGCGCCATGTGGAGAGAGATTAGTGAACTAGAAGTGCCTGTCGCAAATTCCTGGCCATGAGGTCCTTTGGTCTTTTCCCATGCATTTCAATGGGTGGAACGTGATCAAAGAGTTAAAAATAAGCACCTAACACAGATGACTGATTCTCTCCAGCGCCCAATATCCTGACGAGCCTTACATAAGAAGCATACCTTGAACTCGGAATTTAAACATACTTTTTCTTTTTTTACGGCAAACATAAAACTAAGCTACCGATGTGCAAAAAAAAAAATGTATTTACTGGCTGGACTTCTGCGCCATACTATCTTCTTTTGAATTCTGCAAACATTACCTACAAAACACTGCATTATTGTTTCTTACATATCGCAGGTGTCTCTTTTTCTTGGCCATACTGCTCGGATGCAAGATGTTGTGAATGAAGCCAGAAAAAACAGTGATAATGTATTTCGTCTAAACAAAATAATGGTTGGTGGATCAGTGATCAAAAATTCGCTCGCAAAGGACATTTGTGAAATATTCAACTTGAAATCAATGATCGTTTGCTACGGCTTAACTGAAACGTTTGCAGTTCTGAGCACCTCACCTGTAGGACAAATCACCTTCGACAATTGCGGCTTTCCTGTTGCCGGCAGCAAAGTCAAGGTAGGCCTGAAATGCGTCAAACGGTATACGTTATATGCAAACACATTTGTTTGGTACCGCTCAAAGATTGCCCGAACCGTTCATTGTTCACTGTATAATTTCCTACACTAGAGTCAAAATCAATTTTTCATCCCGATGGCCGTCCGAGGTTTTGTTCATCAGAAATCACTGAGCAAGTGTTGCATGATTAAATTCGGGAAGGACGTTAACGTAATTTATCTCAAATATCTCACGCTCGGAATAACGTATTTGAAGCATGCGCAGCCATTTTAGCTATTATGGCCGCGTTTAATGTGCGTCAGTGGCTCTGAAGCAGCTGTGCATAATCAGATTTATGATGAAAAATGAAGTTAAATCGACTGAAACTTTTGAGAAGATTGCAAACAAAATTTGGGGAGCAAGCGCACCGTAAAGGGAATAGACGTTTTGTCAACGGTTTGGCCAAGGTCGATAGCCGATGACAAATGAACGGCAGGGACATGCTCGGCCGACTGCAGTTAGGCAGCCCACTTCTATGCCAAACGGTATCTCGAAAATCCTAAAGCGACGGCAGAGGTGTCTCATCGGGCACGGGGAATGGTTTTAAAAACTATAGTCATGTTTTCGTCGACTTTTTCATTTCCTTTCTAGAAATAACAATCCTTGTAAACCTTAAACGGCACTTGTATGTGCCGCTACGTACGTTGTGGCAACGAATTGGCGTACTGTACATTACATGTAGACTAATATCTAGTATAATGCAGTAATTAAAACAGTTTATGTAATTATAGCTGTGCGAACCGAAGAAGTGTGCACCGTAATATGTCGTGCATCAAATACAGACGCTAGATGTAACATCTTAACACCGGTCAACCCAAAGTTTCAAGCCCAGAATACAATACAATTAGGTACAGTAGGCGTCTGACCTTCTTTTTGATTTAGCGCATAAGCCACCAGATGGCGCCACAGTCATCGAGGTTAGAGACCCTAGATGGAAGTTGGGGTACACCTCAAACCATAGAGAGCGTCTGCAGTTTTAATGGTGGACACCTCCCGCGCCGATTGGTCGCAAGTGGGCATGCGCTGCATTGTCCCGTGGCAAGGAAGAAAACAGGCGGAAATGCAGGTACGCTCGCAGTCAATCAACGCATTTGACACCTCCTCGCAGCTGGTATTGCTAACGAGGCTTATAATTTGCTTGTGAATGGGGCCAGCTGAACATGGAAAACACACAGAGAAAAAATATATCATTCGCACCGCTGGACTAGCAACATTTAATGATTCCTCTTTTTCCTTTTCTGCTAATACTTGATTCCGGTTTCCTTTTTCTTTACACTTAGATTTTTTAATTCTTTACACTTGATTTACGTTTTCTTTTTCTTTACGCTTAATTCGGAATTTCTCTTCCTTAAACGCATTGTCCTTTCTGCCTTCGGAATGTTCTCATCCCTTTTCTTCTGTCTCCCTTAAACGGTCTTCCTCTTCTTCTACTTTTGCCTGGTCCTCATGTCACTCCGCAGGAAAATCTTCTCGGAGTTGTGTAGTGCGACGGAAGGGGCACTAACACAGTCCTCGCCTTTTTCTTCGATGGCTAGGGCTTCCAGGAGTTCACGGGCGAGTTGATTTTTATGTCTCCCCACGATGCTTACGTTGCACAAGGTTGCCCCGCATTGGCATGCGCGACAATGGGCTGCAAGGTGTCCTGCTGCTGTCACGTTTCGTAGAGATGTGGCATGTTCTCTGGTTCTATCGTTGATACAGCGCCCTGTCTGCCCAATATAACACCTTCCACATGTTAATGGAATGTTATAAATGACCTCTTTTTGACATTGGGCGTACTTTGTTTTGTGTGCGATGTTACATTCCTCTTGGTGCCTACGTTGGTCTTCGTTTACCCTGCCGCACATTGAATACCCTTTGTTTGGCGCGGAGCTTATCACTTGGACCCCTTGCCGGCCTGCGATCTTTTTTAGTCCAACGTAGGCACCAAGAGGAATGTAACATCGCACACAAAACAAAGTACGCCCAATGTCAAAAAGAGGTCATTTATAACATTCCATTAACATGTGGAAGGTGTTATATTGGGCAGACAGGGCGCTGTATCAACGATAGAACCAGAGAACATGCCACATCTCTACGAAACGTGACAGCAGCAGGACACCTTGCAGCCCATTGTCGCGCATGCGAATGCGGGGCAACCTTGTGCAACGTAAGCATCGTGGGGCGACATAAAAATCAACTCGCCCGTGAACTCCTGGAAGCCCTAGCCATCGAAGAAAAAGGCGAGGACTGTGTTAGTGCCCCTTCCGTCGCACTACACAACTCCGAGAAGATTTTCCTGCGGAGTGACATGAGGACCAGGCAAAAGTAGAAGAAGAGGAAGACCGTTTAAGGGAGACAGAAGAAAAGGGATGAGAACATTCCGAAGGCAGAAAGGACAATGCGTTTAAGGAAGAGAAATTCCGAATTAAGCGTAAAGAAAAAGAAAACGTAAATCAAGTGTAAAGAATTAAAAAATCTAAGTGTAAAGAAAAAGGAAACCGGAATCAAGTATTAGCAGAAAAGGAAAAAGAGGAATCATTAAATGTTGCTAGTCCAGCGGTGCGAATGATATATTTTTTCTCTGTGTGTTTTCCATGTTCAGCTGGCCCCATTCACAAGCAATGAACCAACATGCTCAGCTTCAGCCAATAACGAGGCTTATAAACCACGTTACCCCGATCGACCAAGGGGAGACTCTCTGTAATACAGGCTCTATATAAGGCCTGTGCGATGCCGTCTGCTACGCGGAGAGTAAAACGTTCAGCGACTGCATCGAAGCGTTCTATATGTTAACCTTAAGGTGTTTATCTCAGTTTTCAAACCAGCTTACAACATAAAAATTAGCTTCCTGACATCTAAACTGGTGTACGAAAGTGAAAGTGTTAAATGTTCAATTTGATCATAAATCGACACAGATAGTCACAAATACGCCGGAATTCTTGGGAGCTGGTGGCGCCAGTTGTCTATTTAAGTGAACACTACTATGAACACAGAGTATAAAAATGTTAACCAAGACGTATGTTGTAGGTTATAGACTTAACCAGCGGAGACTCACTTGGCCCATATCAAAAAGGCGAGATTGTGGTTCACAGCCGAAACGCCATGAAAGGCTACTTCAGAAGTCCAGAAGCTACTGCTGAAGCTTTGAGCGAGGATGGCTGGTTGCGGTCAGGTAAAAACCTCATTCAATTTTTTCTTCGCAGTCAATACAGAAACAACTGAGCTATAATGGACTGAAATATCTCGTTTGTACTCTATTAGTTCACAGACACTTCTCACGCACTGTTTTTGTGTAGAGCAATTATATGGCGAATTCCACTGGGTGTTTTGGAGCGCGCCGCGATCAGTTGACCAGATCCGGAATGGAGCATACGTCCCGAACGGGGTCACACCGCCTGCGGATCCCCAGTGAACATGATCACTGCTCCGGGATCATCGGATGCCTTCCCGTCATTCAACTGCCCGGGAATCCCCTTTACGCAGCCGCCGCGGCCGTTTCGAAGACGTGCTCACAATCGTGGCGCTAACACGTGCTCGGCGCACGAGCGGCAGGAATGGCTCAGGATCTTAAGATTGCCAGAATTCCCGTAGCGCGGCAAACCCTTTTCCTTTTTGGAAAACGAACCGGCTGTGGAGCCAAGGGGTAAGCAAGCGGCCATTACGAATTCGACTTAGGCGAGATGGGCGAGATCAGGCAAGATGCCCCGCGAGAAAGGAAGTCACAAGTGTGCGCCGAGGGCTGGCCCGGCTGGCTTCCGGTTGAATCCGCCGAAATCGTCGGAGCGACTTTTCTCGGATCCAGATCAAGATCTGGAGTGGGAGCTAATCCTAAACGACCCGTGGAACACGTCCCTCTCGATCCCAATCGCCCATTGAAATAGGCTCGCTCCAGAAAAGTCGATCCCGGAGCGCTCCAAAATGACCTGTGGAATTCGCCATTAGACACATTAAAATCACACTGAACATTTTCAAAAAAAGGTGCCATCCGTTTTTTTTTTTTTTTTTTTTTTTATATGGAATGTCGGTTTAGCTCTGCATGAAGAGAAACAATTTACCTGTTTGAGTATACGACAGTTCATCTGGGTTCTTTAGCGTGCTTCACTCAATAGTCATTAAACAATCTCCCAGTGGTATTGTCAAAATCACCTAGTGGATTGAGGCCCACCGACTCCCCTCTGTGACGTCACGGTAGCTAGGCGAGTGCGCGAAACATTTATGAGCGGGCTAGGCGTGGAGCAGGGCCGTGCCGGCGCGCTGCCGCAGCGGCCCTTAACTTCAAATGAAAATCTCTAACGAGTGTTATTTAGGTATGCGTGAACTACGTTCGAAAGATCAAGTTGTCCCTTTTATAATTAGAAGTCCAAATCAAAACTCTGACTTCTAGGATTCGCGTACTAAATAACGGTAATTATAAACCCTTGGTAAATATTCTCGACAACACCTTTCCGGCACTTAACTAAATGACCTTCGTTATAAAAAAAAAAAAAAAAAAACACTGTCCGGTATCACCAGTTTTTTCTTTTTTTGTATTTTGAAATTTCTTTAACGGTCCCCTCTAATGTTATTTCATCGACGGCGTGTTTTTCTGGTGTAATGAATAAAATGAAATAAAACCTCTGTTTTCTGCGGCGGAGATGGATTCAAAGAAAAAACTCAACCTTCGGTTTATGCAATGCTAATACCTAAAAACCAGTATTGACGTTAAGAAAACATTTTGAAGGACTTCAAAAATATACGGATTCATCCGAACTATTTTATTATGTGCAATAGAATGTACTATAAGAGTAAACATCGCTCAGCCCTCTGCATACAATACTTCGTCAGTCCACACGTTCTCACAATCGAAAACACCGTACCGAACCCCTGTTCTAAAGAAAAGCAGTGTTGCAGCAAAATACACCACGGCCGATTCGTGAACTGTGTGGAGGGAGTGGTGTACTCTATTCCCCTCTCGTGTGGCAGGAGATACGTCGGGCAAACGGGGCGCTGCCTCAATGATCGCGTGCGAGAACACAAGTATAACGTTTTTAGAGTTGTGTCAGGTCACCTTGGCCTGCATTGTTGTGGCTGCTGCTGCACTCCCGTCTTCGACAAGTGTAAAGCGATTAGAAAGAATAAGGACAAGCTCACTCGAGAAATCATTGAGGCGCGGGAAATCGGAAAATTGGGAGAAAACTGCGTCAGCACTCCTTCTATATGCTTATCCGAAAAGGAATGTTGCTTTCTCGACACGAAGTGACGGCGCATAACGGTGGATAAGGAGCACGTGGCGTCGATTACATGTTTTTTATCTTTTTTTATCTTTGTTTGTTTGTCATGACGTTCAGTGTTTATACGTGATGTTAGCACGAATAAACTTTAGTTGTAAGTCAGCGCCTTGTTCGTCTACCTTCTTGTTCTTGTCCGTGTCTTTGAGCTGTTTTAATTTTTAATAATAAAATACCAACTAGCCCAAACTTCCATGTTAGTATTATTCCCCTTTGTAAAAATATTTTCAAAAGGATTTTCAATATGAGAGGACTTACTGCCGCCCATGCTTGTAAATAGGCACCCAAACCTCCTCCGTCCTGTAGGGTGAACATTCGCTAAACCAGCTCTGAACTGCAGTGCGTTGACACACAAGTAATGTCAGCTTAAGTGTAGAATTTGTTCTTTTTTTAAGCAGTGCACCACAGTACAATTTTATACGTGCATTTTTTTTGTTTTGTTTTTGAACTGATTTAACGCGAATGCGCTTAAACAGCTTTCTTTATGAGGAAAGCCTTGTAATGTTGTGCTAGAAACCTGCCAATGCTATCGACTTAACCATGACTTCACGTTCTTAGAAGGTCCCGCTTTTAAAATATTGGATGTTACCTCGCAAATTTATAACGTGTGTTTTACAACGGTGAGCTGTAAACCTGTACAATATTTTTAAAGAAACTTTAAACTGGAATGCACATTCCTCTATATGGGACCAGTCACCAATCGGAAACCGATATGCGGAGAAACTGTTTTCACACATAGAACACAGCCATGATGAGTGCATGAGCGCTGAGAACACAAATTTTGCAAAGGCAAAGAGTCTCACGTACGCACTTCCGACGCGTTCATTTCTAAAACAATCGCTATAATTGTGTACTTCGAATGCAATCTACATGGGAATGGAAACATGACCGATATTTGACTTTTCAGGAGATTTAGGATTTTACGACACTGAAGGACGGATTTATATCATCGACAGATTAAAACAGATGATAAAATGCATGGATAATGTCGTCACCCCTTCTGAGCTGGAAGAAATCTTGATGACCCATGAAGCTGTCGCGGAGTCCGCAGTTGTAGGCGTTCCAAGCTCCAAGTATGGCGAGGCTCCAGCAGCTTGTGTCGTTGTAAAAGACGGCTTTGAGAAAAACCTTGAAAGTTTGGCGATAGAGTTGAAGGAGCTAATTGCAGGTATATGTCATGTTCCTGATATTTAAATGTCGTTCTCTGTTGTGTTTCGAGCACAAGGGCGCCAAATATGGATGACTAGTTACCTATAGAAAAATTATTTCTACAGTGTGCACCAGACCATCCGAAAATGAATACAAATTCGAGATACCGAATCTCAGGCAAAACGCAGAAAAAGACTTGTTTCCAATGGTGGGCAGTCATATGGGAGCCACCTTTACTCTGAAACCTTTTATTTTTACTTAAGGGGAGACACTACCTGGGCATGTCTACTTTTGAACCGCTCACTTATTGGTGTGAAATTTGCTGGTGGTGTTTGCAGCCATATAGAAGGAGGGCATGCAAAGTTTCAGGCCTGTGAACCAATTTTATGAGGTTCTATACCTCCCAAACGAAGTAAAGCATAGCTTTGCATGGAATCTACTCAATGAATCTATCGTTGAGAAATAATGTTGATCACCACATAGTTTTCTGGTGAAATGCATACTGAAATACTTGTTGCCGGTTACTATGAAAAGAAATATCAGGAAATATGCGTTTTCCAGGTAAAAATAAATTTATGAAATTAATATCTATCTTTTTTTTACATTTGCCAAGTTTTGCGAATTAAAAATTCCATGATAAAGAAACGTGAAATTGCAAAATCTGACTTCATAGTAACCGGCTCGATACAATTTCGGCGTATAATCCGCAAATATTAAGTCTCTCGGTAGTTTCATACTGAAATGATAGTTTTATAAGGTGGGATTTGCTGCCAAAAAGTGAGGCTGAGATAAATGCACTTGAAGTTTCAAGATGACGTTTTAAAAATTCCTTTTTGCATCTTAATTGTCAGAAATTTTTTCAGCAGTGTAGGTGATGTCTTTTTCAAGCTTTATTCTGATATACTGACATTGCTTTCAGCAATTTTCACGTTTGGATGACAAGTGCTACGCAGTGCAGTACGGCTCACCAGCATAGAAAGAATAATTTTTCTTTTTTACGTTGTTTGTCAGTGTGCATTGACAAGACTTTGTGAGAGTGTTCCTTGTTACCCATACATGTCAAAACTCTGCAGTTCTTAATATGCATTTTTTGGAAAAAGGTGCAATTCAAGGTAGTGTCCCCCCTTAGCATTCGCCTCGTTTAAAAAGTTATGACTACGTTTCGTGATCACAGGGAAGTCACTCCGCAGTATTTCTGGTGAATACGAAAAGAAAACATGTGGTATTTTCGAGCATCATTTATGGTAGGTAGCAGCTATGTTCAGAATTTCAAAATTCTGAATTTGCAATAAAATCTTGTAACCCAGATACAAATGTTTCAAAACAGCTGCCAAGACATGATTGAAGGAATGGAGTGGTGAACTCGCGGAACATTGATTTTATTTTTATTAGAATTTGTACCACGTTTGTTTCTGGTTTGCAGGTCAAGCAGCAGTGTTCAAGCAGCTGTACGGTGGAGTTTTTTTCATGAAATCTCTTCCCAAGTCTCATAGCGGGAAGATCCTGAGACAAGACCTCAAGACGAAAATTGCTAATGAAAAGTGAAAGTCGAAAATTAATAGATATGAATTGGGATAAAAGCGTTTTTTTATTTCGATTGTCATAAACAAGGATCTAAAAATGAACTGAACTTGTGTCAATATTTTTATGAGGGAGAAAGTAGTGAATACGAACAAGCCCCAGTGAAGCCTATTGTGAAAGAAAGTTTTACGTTTTTAGGAGGCAAGAGTAACATTTGAGTCAAACAGGAGGCATGTTTTTTCTTTTATTTTCAAACAATAACTTTATTTGGGATTCCACCAAGGCCCTCTTCAGCTCGTGTTGGTCTTACCGCATGACGTCAAAAGTTTCACGTGACGTCATGGTATCACGTCCGTAATATTAAGTTCCCCACAATATTCAGCGGCGATATTGACGTCGCCTGACCTGAGGTACCATAACATGGTTTCTGTGATCATGCCACGTGACGTCGCGATGTCAGTGACCTGTCGTAACGTGACTCGAAGTCACATATAGCCGCAAATCTGGCAACCGGCCGTAGCCGGGCTCGCGAGGTTCCTCTCGCTGCCAGCATGAGGTGCGCGCGTAGTTCGAGACCGCACTCTCTTGTGGCTTCGTTGGTTATTTACACCACTGTACTATTGCGTACAATATGAGCTGAAAACGTCCCTTATGTTTGTTTGGCTTACCTGCCAGTTTTGGGGAGAGCTGTGATCCGAACTCGGAATGGAGTGAAGAGTTCATTTATCAAACTTCGGACTATTTCACAAATTAAGAGATGAAAGAGCTTGTGCTGACTGCAGATTAAGAAAGAGGTCGGATCAGGTGTGTAGCCGCATATTGTAAAGAATTTATTGTTTTTACGAGAAAATTGTCAAAGTGCTTTTCTAGTAAGGTCAATTTCTCACGCCATTCCGCAATGAGATACTTGGTATCTCGTTGATGTATATTAATAATATTTGTGTCTAAAAATTGCCTAATCACTCCTTATGTACGTTATATATGCGATAAATTATTTCCGCTGTGTAAACTACCCGTTGTGGTATTTTCACATAAACTTTATACGAAAACCAAAAAGTGTTACCATTGGAACAAATTTCCTAAAGTCAGTCTTCTAAAAAAAAAACTAGTACGCAAGGTCTGTATTTTGTTTGTAGGGCATACATTTAAGCTTCAATATCGTGAAAATAGTCTGATTTACCAGAAGAAAATCAAACATGCCTACCTGCTCGTTTTTTATAACTTTTTTAATCTTGATGCACCTTCGTCTGTGTTTTTTAAACAAAAGATATCCGATCACCTCTTGATATTTTTTAATAATTTTGTTTTAATTTTGCACGAGCAACAAATCGCATGTGCGTAGTGCAAATTCAAAGTAACATATCTAATGAAATTGGGCCCTGTAACATTCCGGTGACTAAAATGAACAGACATTTTAGTGTTTTAAGTGGTATAATGCATTCTGAGTAAACGACCGTAACAGCTCTTATTAAGCATATTACACAGAGAAAAGGAAATGACGCCATTATTGAAATTGTATACGTAGATACACGTAAAGCATCGTGGCGCTAGGGTAATTTCATCCCACCACATTGCACAAACCATCGACTGTTGATGGCACAGTTACTGTCTATAATAATACTCAAATGTAAGGACAGAAGTACCGTCGAAAACATACGAAGAGGTACATAGCACATTTGTCAAAGACCGTACATTATTACACAAGATCGTTGGAACTGCGAGTTAATTCTGGCACTGTCTATATGAACCACGCAGCTCGCTGTTGTAGTGTTGAGCCTGCTGACACGCACAGACTGATTGTTAGTGACCGTATGGGACATAAAGCAGTAAATGCTAACATGTTACGCTATCGCCTTAGCACATGTACCTTGGTGTTCTTTAAACCTTTCAGTGAGGACAAATATATGCCTGCTTCCTTCAACTTTCTACAGCGTGAATTTTATAACAAACTCTTAAACTTTTGATGAAACAATAAACTAGAAAAGAAAAGACTTAATTCTACTCTTGATTCGCCAAAAGGAGATCGCCTGTTTGAGGGAAGGTAAGACCCCCAAGGGACAGAAGGGACATTTGATTGTCACACGTGTTGATTGCAGTGCATATCTGCGATCATCAGCGCTGTCTCTGTATGTGGCCAGCAGGGCCGACATCGGCACGAAGGTTCATTACCTTGATGCATGTGCACCTTGAAACTCGAACCCCTACGGCCATGCGTAACCAACAACGAGCAATTTGCAGCGTGGGAGAGGAATGGCATTATTTTATTTGACTTTTTTTTGTTGGTAGGTGGAGACTTTCTTGACACACATGGAACGAGATATCCAATCTTTATTTTTGCGTAAATCTGGCAATGACGCTTGAGTTAAGTTTTTGTATCAGGATCTTTCCATTTTCTGTCCTTGGTAGAGATTTCATAAAGACGACGCCACCGTATAGGTGCTTGTGGATAGATGCTAGACCTGCAAGGAACGCGCCAAAACTTTACCACCACAAAGAGGCTAAAGAATAAGGTGACATAGGAATAGTTCGCAAGCTTTTATATTCGTATACACACACTTATATGCACATACAGAAATTCAATTTGTCGTTCTAATTACTAAGCTCGGTTTCGTTCCACAGTTAGTGATCTGTAGAACGAAACCGTAGCTTTGTATTTCTTTTTACTTATATAACATAACACGTAGTATTTGGCAAGGTTAAACTTCATGTTATGTAAGTAAGCAAATGTGAAAGCACTATTAGTTGTTTTCGAATGAAACAAGGATATGGTGAGCATACGAACATTTCAAATCACGCCTGGTGTAAAAACTCAATCAAGTAGGTCAATAAAATTTTATCTGCCTCATTTATTACTTCCCGCGGGGTTTGACCTAACATGTACACGTTACCCAAAAAAGTAACAAAATAATTTTACTCGTTAGTCGCGCAAAAAGGAACTAAATACATTACTCGTTAGCGATTCTGAAAAAGAACGCGTTAACTAGCCTCAAATCTACCGAGTTATCATCCTCGTTCCTTTAACGACCAAATAAACAAGAGCTTTTGTTTCATGGTTTAGTTGTTGTTTTTTTTCAGTGGTCGTTGCACTTAGCAGTAGCTGAATTCAAAGTTTTCATCGGTTATGTTTTCCCGCTTCCTTAGGAATACATCCCAGGCAACGCTGTGGAATCGTTGTACTGACGCGCTCGAAGGAGCGAGTGAATTCAGGAAGAGCTGGGGAATCTGGAATTTCTTTCTTTCTCTCTCTCTCTCTCTCTCTTGTTTTCCCTGCTTCTAAAGTTCGCATTTGACAATGGGCTCTCCGCCTACCTATTTTGGCAATATCCGGGCTTACATTCGGCCTGTACCCGATTCTAGAAGATTCAACCAACAAACCTTATTGTGTTCACTGGGTGAAAGATATCCCCAGCTGTAGAGTTCGACTGACGTGTTCAGCGATGAACGGTGGTATACTTACAAACTTGAAAGTATAAAACAGAGAGGACCAGGACGGGAACAGGACATCTTTCATGTCGTATACTGTCGTACTTATTGGTTGTTTTTCGGGTTGCCTATCTGCCTTGGTCGCAATAGACGCATATTCACGTTATAATTAAAACGAGGCTGTTTAAACGGTGTTAACAAGTTACACCTTGAAAGTAACGAAACGCCGTTACTCGTTACATGGCGTTAAAATTTGACTAAGTACGTTATTCGTTCATCTTTTAGGAAAGTAACTAGATAAGTTATTCGTTATCGTTACCAAAAATAACTAGGTAAAAGTAAATCTTTACCAGTAACGTGTTACGTATATGTCTGGATTTGACACAATGAATTATTGTGGGTCGTTGGACTTCACTTAAGAGAAGTGCGGGATACGGACTTTTATTATACTTGTTTATTTACATACCGGCAATGCCGGGTAGGCAGGCGAGCAAAGAAGGCATTGCTGCCTAGAGGGTTCGCCCACCCCCTCTACAAGACAGAGAAACATGTATAGATATGCACCATCTGCGACGGTGTGACAGACTCAAAGAAATTAGCATAAAGATATAAAAAAAACGCAAAACATTTACTAAACTTTATGTAATAAATTTTTTAAGACACTTAACCGCCAAAAATAAAATTATATCCTCAACAGGTGCGGCTTTATAAAATGAGTGAAGAGCAAATACTAACCGGGCCACGAGTATCGCAGTGATAACATCTCCCTCCGCCTGCATGGGTGGACGTGAGCCAAATGTATGCTTGCATTTTACGAATTTATTAGATGTGTTAAGAATTTGGAATAATGCAGTTCGATTGTATGGCATCGCAAATTATTTGCTAATTGCATACTCGTGGCCACGCGTCTTGTCGATGGAAAGACAAATACACTTACTAAGCACCTTTTAATTATATATATATATGGGTGATTTCATCTCAACTCGGACACAAACTTTGGGTTGAATTCTTATTTTTTTGGAAAAAATGCATGTTATCGGGCAATTCCTATGAGAAAAGAAGACGCAAACGTCAAGTTCGTCGGATGTTTTGTTCTCAAGTTATGGACCATGGAAGCGGCCAAGGTGGAAACTGTCGTTTTTCCAGCTTATCGGGGGTGCCATATTTCACTCCATCCCTTTTGCTTACGTTTTACGCTATATCTATATAATTTTCTTGGGAACATTCTCGCCACATGCTTTTTTATGCTAATTAAGTGTCTAGGTCATAACATTCTTATTTTATTTTTTTATTTGTCAAACCGCCTCTCTGCGCCGATATTTGACAAAGTTCAGCAAGCTGTGCTGTTTGACCTAATCAACATATTTTTATCACCTTTACATCATCGCAAAGCTCCAAGTAAACTATTGTTCTTGTACAATTTCAATATTGTGCAATAAATGTATAATGCGCTACATAGGCCTGAAAAATAGATATTTAAAAAAACTACCAAGTTTGGAGTCGATTTTCTAAAACAAAAAAACACGTACCTTTTATTTCTTATTTATAGTTAGGGAATATAGTAGTCTATCAGAAACTACCAACAGGAATTCTAATATATT